TTTCTGGTGTATAGCTTCAAAAGCGGTAGTGACTGAACATCTAGGATGGCCTCTTTGGAAGTAACAGAATAATAAAGCCTCTGACTGGACACCTTTAGAAGGTCTCTGTTAGCTCAATGCTCAAATAAGATACCTTTATTAAGAAAAGAAGAAAAGTTGCCTGATATTTTCTTAGGTATGATTGAAATTATTCTGTCAGGTTCTTTAGGAATAAATTTTTGAGCATTGCCTTCTAATCTCAAAATGTTGGACACTTTAATACTGTGAATTGAAAGATGATACATATTATCTAGATAAAGACTGATACCATCATTTTTGTAAATCCTTCTGAAATTAATTATTTATGAAATGATGATCAAGTTTACCAGTACTTATCGGTCTCAAATGCAGGTATCGATGACATTCTCCTGCTACTTGATCATTTTGGGAACATTGGAACGATATCTGATCACGCAAAGATCCAGTTGTCTGAAGTGGTTTCGAAGAAGTCGGGGATTGCTCGCCTTTTACATGTTTTTACTGTCCCTTCTGCTACGAGGTACACTGGTTTTCGAAATTCAGGTAAGTTCTTTTTTAAATTAAGTTTTTTAGGAACAATAGTCAGTATTGGTAGCTATAAAAAACTACAGCTTAGTCCAAAGCAGTTATGCTTGGACGCTAAATTGGTCTGAGCGGTTAACGTTCGTAATTTCTCAACTTGGAGTAGCTTCTTAGTAACTCAAGGCTGAGGGATCCTTCAAGGCCAAACTTCACTCTAGCCACTGTCTCGAATTTCCTTATATCGCCAACTAAATTTGTAATATGATACATATGTTTGCGACTTATCTATTCAAGCAGCTTTCGCCGTATCCCTCTTCAATTACTCGCTTAAAGGTAGGCCCGCGCGGATTGGAGATTGTTTATATAAACACCGAACACATGGATGCGTACTATCAAGAACAAATGGATTTATATAGGAAAGGAAGGGATTTTCTGTTCACTCGATAGCAAGTAAATCACAAAGATTACAGATGGGCAAAGGGTGCGAGTAGTAGCGAAGGGACGAGAAAACCGAAGCAGTATCATTTTCGAGGGAAAAAGCCTTTTTTTGTAACAAGAAGGAGGAGAGAGTCGTATGCGGCTAACATTTTGGATGAATTGTTTGCAGTACTGTCAATTTTCCTTTTTGCGACTCAGTTGAGTTTGAAAATAAAAGGGAAAAACGGAGAAAGCAAAAAAATAGTTGTCTACTTACTATTCTTCTTGAGTTAGCGCAGAACTCCTTTACTATTGCCCTGGACTATTTTTTCAGAAATGTTGATTTAAAAAAGCTGGTTATTCGTGCGCGGAGTAAGTAAACAAATAAATAAAGTAAAGAATGGAGGTCCAAGAAGATTAATACATTATTATTCTAGCTGGATCGGAATGGCGACTGCACGGGAATTTCTGAATACATTCCTGGACTCACGGATATTGTCCATACCGTTTGGTATGGTACAGTCTTTCGATTTTACATCAGGTCAGTCGCTTTGCTTCATAGCATAAAAGCTTATCGATTTTCAAGGAAAAAAATTGGCAATGTTCGGAAATTGTGTTTTCTTTGGTGGTTCCAAATGAAATCGCCAGTAGAACGTTTTTCGGGTATGGTAGAGCGTAAATTGTCTGTCCTTGTCAATTGATGCACTTGTAACGTTCTGTTACTCACCAATCTGTCTGACAAATCCTCTCAACTACAAATTTTCGAAAAAAAAGCAGCTGATCCTTCACTGGGAATGGCACCACGGCTTTGGAAAGACAG